TAAATTTGAAAAAGAGCGGCGAAATTTTTCTATAATTATTTCTTTGGCTATTTGCAATTTCGGATAAATAAAAAAATTCGCCGTATTTTCATTATATCAAATAAAAATTTGAAGTTATGGATTTTTTTGAAAATTTGTTTTAGAAGCAAAAAGTTTTTACAATTTATTTATAATTTTTATATTTTATTTAAAAAATTTATCATATTAAAATAAAGTCCTTTTTTTCGACTTCTTTTTTCCATTTTCTAGCAGTTATTTGCAGCTAACGACATACTATTAGGAACTAAATATTCGCTGCAAATAAAAAGGCCTTATCAGACTTTTTCGCCGGGACTTTAACACTTTTAATATTGAGATATCCTGGCCTCTGAAAGTACCTTAAGAATGTACACTTCTTCTTTTAATTAAAGATACGCGACCACTTCTATATCTCAGCCCCTTTTGCCAAACCCCCCCCCCCATGTTTTTTTTCGCGCGCGCTAAGGGGCTAACAGTAAATGATAGCGCAGTTATGGTCGCTTCAGCTTGAAATAGCCACATTTTCTTCAACTTTTCCCGAGGACAACTTAAAAGAGAAGAAGAAAGAGAAAAACATATATATTTAAAAAAAAAAAAAAGATAAAATGCCCCAAAGAATGGCTTAGCCACTTGTCATTTAAAAAAATCTTCCCTCTTTTCAAAGTGCGATTTCGAGTGCCAGAAAGAAATCTTTTCACACTCCCGTTAATTATGTCACAAAACGAGAAATTTAAACGTAAATGGCTCTAAGAATGTCCCTGATAGCAATTTTGCGGTAGTTAACGACAAAAAGAAACTTTTTAGCTTTCATTTTATTATTAATTATTATTATTGTTATCTTTTTTCTTCTATTTCATTTTTTTTTATTAATATTACATCACGTGTAGAAATTACCCTACCAGGGCCCTAGTAGGGAATGAAACGTTACACCTGATCAGAGCCAAATTAGCCCGTGCCGAAATTTTACCAGGGACCAAATCGGGGCCGGATCAGACTGCCCGCCTGATGTGGCCCTGATCCACATTTTCTGCTCGCCCTGATTTGACGTTTCATTACCTACTAGGGCCCTGGTATGGCAATTTCTACACGGGAAGGCGATCAAAAAATGTCGATTTCCTAATCAGGGCCACATCAAGCGCGGCGTTTCATTCCCTAATAGGGCAGTCTGATCCGGCCCCGATCTGGGCCCTGGCGAAAATTTCTGCACTCACATAAATAAAAATTATTCTTTTAAAAAATATTAGAAATTATTTTTAGACGAATATTTGAAACGGGATTATATTTGTTTCACATATAATATTGAGGGAAAAAAAAAGTAATTTGACTTGATAAAGAATTTTTTTTTTTTTTTTCATTCGATGTAAAAACAAAAGTGAATTAAGTGCGAGATAAGGAAAAAAAAACTGCGGGGATTGATCCCATTTCTTTTCTTTTGTGAGAAAAGGAATTGAATATCGAAAAGCAAATAGAGAATACAGTTGTGCGTACATAAATTTTCTGGCGTACTTAATTGAAAAGGGAAGCAATAGAGGATGCTGTCTCGCAGGACAAAGAAACGATACAACCTCCAAGATTCGTCGCAAGCTTCTCTCTGTATATAGGGATACCACTTATTCTTGAGAGACGCGAATATGTTAAACGGTTCAAGAATGCCGTTCGGTATTTTTCTCCATACACGAAACGAAACAAACAAAATTGCGGGTGGTTAATACGATATAGTCCAATTTTGTGAGGAGGAAATCCAAGCAAATTTCGAATAATACACATTTTTTTTTTTTAAATAAATAAAATTTTTTTACTTTATTTTTATACACGAAAAAAAAATTTTTACCTGAAATAGCAAAAAGTTTCACTAGAATAGCAAAAGATTTTAACTAAAACAAGTATAACTTTTGCTGCTGCTAGTGAAATGTTTCTCTGTTCCAGGTAAATCTTTTTTTTCATGTAATGTTAAAATATACCTTAGGTTTTTAAATAAAGTAGAATTTTTCATTTAAATTTTCTTAATTTTACTCGGAAAAATTTTGACCTCTTAAGAAAATGAATTAATTATTTATTAAAAATTTTGTATTCTAAACACGAATATATAATAAATGTTGGTTTAGCTACAGTAAAGGGTTCATAAATTCCCGTGTCGTAATATACATAATATCCAAAAATAAGTTAATAATTGAAAAAGCAAATTTGTGCTTTCTCTGATTTATTTATAATCCATAACTACTTGTCTTTGCTAAACGCAGCATCAGCTGTAGAAATAGGAATATTCAGTAATAGAATAATAAAATTAGAAATTAATTTTAAAGGGCAAAATTATTATCAGAAAACGTTTTGGAACACACTCGATATGTCTCTCATATGTCCTCTATGGCCTTTTAGATTTTCTATTATAAGACTTCTCTATTATTAAAAATATTCCTTGTCAACTTTACCAAGTTAATATACTTAAAATTATATAAAGATTGCAGTAGCTCATAATTATCTGCTCTACATATTGCAAGAAGAAATTTTTATCATATTTTCATAAAGTTAATTCGTTACCATTATCATTACTACATTTTTCGGTAATAATTAGGGTAATTTAATTTTCAAATATTTTCTTTTTTGAAACCTGTCAAAATAGTGTTAATTTAAATTTTCTTTATTGCATTTTTGCAAATTAAGTAAATTTCGTTAGTGATTTTTTAAATGTTAAATAACATTCCCATGGACAAAAAATTTACACATTTAAAAAAACGAAAGATTTTATTTCCAGTAGAAATGCAATTTTTCTAATTAAAAATTCTATTTAATTAGTGTTAAAAGCTTTTAAATAAAGCTGTGAATTTTTCTATTTAAACAAATCGTTTTCAGTTAAAATCGCAATTATACATGTTTTTAAAACTCTTGGAAGTATATTTAAAATACAAAAAATTATTTAATTGAAATAGAAATTATTTGGTTCAAGTAAATATTTATTTTGATAATAAGTACACCGTTTAATTGAATCAAATAAAAATACATTTTGTCTCAATAATAATTTTTTTATTTGTTTCATATATAAAAATTTAATTCAGCATAAATATAATTTTATTTAGCGCAAAATATTTTATTTAAACCAAATAATTTTTGAACAAATAAATGTTTATTTAATTCAAATAAATATATTTATTTAAACAAAATAAAAGATATTTTGAATAAATATTTACTTAAACGAAATAAATATTTATTTAGCTCTGAGACAAATATATCATTTCTCCTGGGTGTATGTAATAATTAAAAAAAAATTTCGTGTCGAAATAAATCCAACTGAAAATAGTTCATATTTTCAATATGTTTTTTCATTCACTTTTCAAAAAAATTCAAAAGAAAAATAAATTCTAATTAAAGATAAATTCCTTTGAAAGCGAGAGCGTGTTCTTTATATGTTTATTGGGTAACCTTAGAAAGAGGTCCCGAACCAAATGTTTTACGTCTCCAATATAAAATTTCAAGGGGAAAATATCCTCGCGATTCTCCAGAGCCACAAATTTGTAACCCCTCATGTGAGCCCCAAGGATATCGGTTTATAAAAATAGACGAATATAAGAAGGATATATTTCCGGATACAAGAATTTCTGTTTGGTTTTGGTTGACCGCTCCAAATCTCAAAAAGATGAAAGACGTCCAGCCAGTGCATTGTGTTGATGTCGTAAAGACACGAGAATGTCTCTCTTTCATTCTAAAGTTTACTCTTTTTTTCTTTTTTACTCTCCTGCTCTCGCGTCTGCAAATAAATAAACTTTTGTGTGAAACCATACAGCTGGACACATCCTTTACTGCTCTCTTAGTTTCCTCTACTCAGAAAAACTTATATATATATATGAATGTTCAATAGCATATCCTCTCTTTTTAAATTTATTATCTGTTTAGAAAAAAAAGTTCACTATTCTTAATTTTTATCAGAAAAAAAATTTTTTCAAATTTTTGAAAAATTCTTTATAAATTGACAATTTGAAATTTTCCAAGAATTTTTTTTTTCATATAAACATTCTTTTAATGAGACAGTCTCATAAATAACCCCAAACTCCATAATAAAATTTTTTACTACTTTTTTGTATTTATTTTTCAGTTTTGTATTTATATTTTTAAGCTTAAAAATATGTTAATGGGTCAGAATTTCTCAAAAGGATCACCTAAAATTCAGAAATTTTTTTTTTAATCAAAAATCATTTCTTTTGACTCCTTACATGGTAAAAATAAGTCCCTGAAATTTTTAGGTCAAAAAAAAATTTTTTGTTAAAGTTATAAACAATTGAAATTTTTTGCAGTCTTATTTTAAAAAAATTTTTTTCTCGAGCTCCTGTTCACCAATTAAAAAAAAAGAGGGTTTTTTCGTCTTAAAATGTAGTTTTTAAATATAATTTTTATTTTAAAAAAAATTTCATATTTAATAGATTTTTATATTATTTATTTATAAAATGTTATTAAAAAATAGTGTTCTTGACGTCCTACAGAAAATTAAATTTTTTTTTTGAATTCCCCACATAATTTTGTGTAAGAAACCGTTGAGAAAAAAAATGAGACTAAAAAAAAAATTTATGAATTTTAGGTGATCCGTTTGATAAATTCTGACCCTAATAATATAATTTTGGTACAGCAGCTGTAAACGAAAAATTTTTATAATTTTTTGTTTTAGAAAATAATATTCCATGGACTTCATCGTTTTTATCATTAAGTGCAATAACGAAAACAAGATGAAAATGAATTTCATTTTTATCGTAAAAATAATTGTATATATTTCAAATTTGTTGCACAACTTGATTTTTATTTTCAGCGATAATAATTTGAATCTTCAACTAATTATATAGCACTGAAAAAAAATTTATTTTATTCAAATATCGGTGTATTTGGTTATTATCAAATAAATATTTATTTGAATCAAATATTTCTTATTTGAATCAAATAAATGGTATTTGCTTTAAATACTGAAATATTTGATTCAAATAAGAAATATTTGATTCAAGTAAATATTTATTTGATAATACCGAGGATAATACATCGGTATTTGAATCAAATAAATTTTTTTTTCAGTCTGAATAAAAGAAAAAAGAAAAATAAAAAGCTGATCATTTTTGTTTTAGGAAAGAAAAAATTGGACCCATCGTGCTGTCCAGTTTGCGGTGTAACTGTGAGGGCACAAGAATTGGAGCAACATTTTGTTCATGAATTAGACAAACTTTTTAAGTTGACCTCCGTTACACCACGTCCTAGACAATCGAGATCAGCTTTACCACCGGGTGCTCCGGATCATCCCCATTCATCTCTCTTACATGCACCCTCTGCGTCCGACGGCACGCCACTGGGCAGATGGGAAACTTTCAAAAGAGTCAAGGCCAATCGACAAGTAAGCTTTTACTTATAAATATATATATCAATTACAAACATTTAATCAATTCTAAACATTGTTAAAAAAAAAAAAAATAAATCTTGATTTCAATTCGCACTTTGGGCTGAAACCGTTTTCTTTTTTTACATGAAAAAAAATTTTTGTCGCAAATTTTAATTGTAATTTTGTATACTTCTGAAATTAATTAAAATTTAGCGCCAAAATTTTGCCAGATATTTATTCGGATAGAAGAAAATTCTGTAAAAAAAAACTTCGAAGCAAAAGAGGCAAAAAAAAAAAAAAGAAAAAATATTGAGAATTTTCGAATTTTCGAAAGTGGCGCCTTAATTTTTCTTTTTGTGACCCTGAGACGTTGCAAAACTACACGCGCAAAAAGGATTAACGACTGTTCTGCTAACGAGGTCTGGTGCGCAATCAGCGTTACGCCATACATATTCATTATTCGTAATTCTACATCGTCAGACAAACTTGATAAGATCGATAATTAAAAGAGATTTGACTTTGTGTGCAGGGCAGAATTCGTCTCAAGAATCGGAAGAGAAAAGCCGACGAGCCAACTTGTCCGGTTTGCAATGAACGACTTTCGGGAACACCGGAAGAATTAAATCAACACGTCGAGAGATGTTTAAACAAACACAATGGTAATTCAACAGGAACAAATGCCAATGACGAGGAAGACGTCGATGTTGAAGGCGATTCTGAAACTTTCGAGGAATACGAATGGGCTGGACAAAAAAGAGTTCGAGCCACTTCAATGCTCATTGGCGGATTTTCTGGTAAGATCAATATTATTTTTATCTAAAAATTTTTAATTTTATTTTATTATTTTTTAAAATTTGAAAATTTAATTACAGCTGCAGGATTGGCGACATCTTCGAGTAGTCGTAATTCAGCAGGTGGTCAACACGAAGATGAAGATGTGGATCTTGTTGTGGATGGTGATGAAACGGCTCAATTTGGTCCAGCTCAGTATTCGGAAGCTGATGTTGTGGCATTAAGAGTTGATGGTGATTCGCGGGAACAAAAAGAGAGAGACGCTCTTCGGGAAGCTGTGATATCGCCTAATGCACTTCCACACACTCCTCCGGATCAATTGCGAATGCAGATTGAAGTTAAACCAGAACCTGGTTCGACAACTCCATCAGGACAACAGAATGAGGCTGAAGAAAATTCCGCTTCAGTGTCTCCAAAGAAAGAAATTGAAGCTCCCGTCATTGAGGCACTTCGAGGACGAATCAAGGAACTTGAAGCCGAGACTCGAGGGCAGCCTTTCAAGTGTTTGATCTGCATGGTAATTTAATCCTCTGTTTATATTTACCGTTTACCGATATAATTTTTTTTTCTCTCGCTTTCTTTTTTCTTCTTAACGAAAAAAAAACTACGGGATAAAAAAATCCGATAATTTTTGCATTTAAAAAGCAATTTTTTTTTCTATTTAATAATTAAATTTAATATTTTTGTTTTTCAAATAGGAGCCTTTCAAAAATCCAGTGACCTCTGTTTGCTGTTGGCATGTCCATTGTGAACAATGTTGGCTGCACACTTTGGTAAGAAATTCTTTATTTTATCGAAAAAAAAAATGTCTAATAATTAATTACTAAATTTTTAAATTCACTGAAATTATTTCATAATAAAATTTTTCAAATTTGTAAGGAAAAAAAATTTTTTTTTTTTTGTTAAGAAATTTAAAAAAATATCGCATTTGATTGCAGGGAGCAAAAAAACTTTGTCCTCAGTGCAACATGATCACATCACCGGGAGATTTGCGGCGAATTTATATGTGAACCCGGCGATTTGGTGGCCAGTAAAAAAAAATTGCCACTCTGGCTAATATCCGTCAAGGAGTTTATCCTAATTTTAAACCTAACTACAAAATTCGTGTTGTCCAAAATAAATTGGGACCGCGGCCGCTTGTATATTTGTATATTATGTTATAAATTAACGATTTAAATACCGTTATAAATATTTAGAGATAATAAATTAACATCTAGATTGTTCAAATAGATAAATATTACCTAGATAGACAGAATTTTTGACACTGAAATTTTCTAGAAACTGCAATAATTATATCTAGGCCGAATTGCGAGACTTTTTTTTCAAGTTTCTGAAAAATAATCTAGGGTACTACATTTTAGGAAGTATTTAATTAAAATTTTAAGTTTTAACATTTGTTCTCTAACTTAAATAATTAAAAAAAGAAGGTTTATAAAATGATTTATCGATGAGATAAACAAATACAGCAGTATAATCTCTATTCGCTTTTTTAAAGATGAAAAATTAAAAAATTCTTTAAAAATAACGTTTTTTCTTAATATTTGTGCTATAAATATATGTAAATAAAAATAAGGTAAGTGTGTGAATTATTAAAAATAAAAAATAACGAATTTATTAACACAATTTTCATTCAAAAATGAAACAACTTCTCTATATACACTTTTCCTACATATTTTTTTCTAATAGTAAGTGTTTAAAAAAAGTAATTATCAATAAAACTCAAATTTGAGATTTTCTGCTGTATTCTTCAAGAATTTTTGCATTTTACTGTCGAATAAATTTCGACATTTTACATGTATTAATAGGTACTTATTTATTATCATATATATTATTTATGTAGTTTATAAAGATGTTTTCAATGCAGATTCTGTCTGTTTAGGTGAATTTTCATTTCCACGTCACTTTAATCAAAGATTATCTTTGCATTATTTTTAAAATTCTATTCGTCGATATAATTTATTTTTCAATGTGAAACATTATGTCCCAAAATAAATGCACAGAATTGAAATACACTGTCTTGAATGTCCGTGAAACGGAAATGGAAGTCCCATTTTCTTATTAGAAAGTATTCAACGTTTAGAGAATTAAATATATCAACATGTCACTCAGCAATTCTATTAATAAATCTTCGAATTTTTCTTTTTATTGTCTCTCGATTGTCAAGATTTGTAATGGAATTTTTGTTTCCATTTAATAATCTCTGCATATAATCAAATAATCCTGGTGAAATGTGTATGAATGATTTACTTATAGATTAAAAAGTAAAGACTGAGTGAGGAGAAAAACATTGTTAAGGTTGCACTTGTACCTTTTTGCCGAAGAGTTTTCAATTGTCTTATATATTAAAATTCAAAATGACTTTTGTTTCATAATATATATATATATATTTTTCATAGAATTTTTATTGCAGAGTTTAACTCTTAAAGAGAAAATAAACAAAGTGTCAATTCTTTCCATCACTGAGAAATACTATTTTTTCTGTTTTTTTTATATTTATTTTTTTTTTTTTAGATAGATGTGCATATTTGCTCCACCAATTTGGACGCTACGTGAATTATATATTTATAGCCACTTTTCGGGACACTTGAAGACTTATTGTAAATACACAAAAACCCCTAAAAGCTGTGCTGTATTCAAAATAAAATGACCATGGAAATGTAACTGCTTGTATTCATTATTTTCCTTTCTATAAATTAAATTTGTCAAAAAAAAACTGTAAAGAAGAGACATCGAGTTTTCTTAAAAATTTTTGGACACCATCTCTGTAAGTACATTATTTCTTTCTTTAGTTTTAAAAAATTGGAATAGAATCATAATCAAGGAAACAAGTAGAAGAACAATAAATACCTATGTTTAATTTCCGACTTATCGCTTTATCTTCTTTCCCCAGATTGTCCAAGACCATTAAAGGAACCAACTTCTGGGTAAATAAGAAGTCTTAATTAAAGTTGTGAAACGCGAAGTAACGGGAAAAAGCAAAAATTCTCAGTAGAAAATGGCTTTGTTATTTCGCGTCTATGTGATTTTGTATATACATAGAAATGTGTACTTAAGCAGAGAGAAGATGTACATTTTGTGAAATGGCCTGTCTCTTTAGGGTGGAATTGTGCACAGTTTTCTCTTGTGTTTGCACATGAAAACCTTTATATATATACATATATTAGTGTGCAGATCTCAAAACAGAAGAAAATATGAGTCTTTCTGTTGTTGAGAGAGGGAGAGGATAAAATACATATAAAGGAAGGCGAGCAAATTCAGCTTGGGGTAGGATACGAATAAAAGGTGGGTTTGCAGGTGGAGACTGAGTTTCAGAAAGCTCCGCCTATCGTTTACTTGGCTTGAAAGCGACTGTACTCACACACTTTTTAGTCAATATACACGTACTTGAGTCAGAAGACCAACTGAATTCATCCATGATTTTTGCAAACCTCATTAAAAAATTTCTTCTACTCCAAATCATATTTATTTATTAACATGATTACGTTATAATAATTTTATTAATTTTTTTTTATTATAATAATTTCTACTAAACGCTGCATAATAATTTCTGAATGCCCCAACCGCTTAATGTTCTCCTAATACCAAAAATTAAAATTTTTTTAGTTTAAAACGTGCTTTTGTATTTCTAATGCATTTCAATTTTCAAAATTGGCGGGAATTGCTTTCTGAAAATACCCCGACCTCTTCAAGTACTCCTGATACTTAATAAAATTCAAGATTACTTCAGAAATTCATTGAAAACAATGAAAACAATAAATATTTTGAAAAACGCATGCGCAATCAACGTAAATAAAAATAATCTAACCTCTTCATGTTCTCCTAACACCAAACATTAAATTTTGTTTTATTTTAACACGTGCTGTTGTATTTATAATATATTTGAATTTTCAAAATTGGCGGGAATTCCTTTTTGAGAATACCCCGACCTCTTCATGTTCTCCTGATACTTTTTAATTTCAAGATTTCATCAAATTTTAGCGCCAAAACAATCAAAATATTAAATATTTTAAAAGCGCAAGCGCATTCTACGAAAATTAGAATACCAATGCGCATGCGCCATCAACGTTAATAGGAATACCCCATCCTCTTCATGTACTCCTGATACATTTTAATTTCAAGATTTGTTCCAAATTTTAGCGCCAAAACAATCAAAACACTCAATATTCTTAAAGCGCATGCGCACTGCGTTTCTAAAAATACCCCGCCCTCTTCATGTTCTTCTGATACTAATTTTATGATACTTATTTCAGACTTTCTATTAATTTTAGCGCCAAAAATGTCAAAAGATAGAATATTCGAAATGCGCATGCGCTATCAACGTATTTAGGATTACATCAACCTCTTCATGTTCTCCTTATACCAAAAATTAAAAATTTCTTTTAAATTTTGTTGATAATCTATCAAAACAATCTATTTTTCCAATGCGCATGCGCTATTGACGAAAATTGGTTAACCCCAACCTCTTCATGATCTCCTGATACCAAAAATTAAAAATTTCTTTTAAATTTTGTTGAAAATCTATCAAAACAAACAATATTTCTAATGCGCATGCGCCATCTACGTTAATAAGAATATCCCAACCTCTTCATGTTCTCCTGATACTAAAAATTAAAAATTTCTTTTAAATTTTGTTGAAAATCTATCTAAACATTTAATATTTAAAATGCACATGCGCAGCCTACATAAATAGAAATACCCTTACCTCTTCATGTTCTCCTAATACCAAAAATTAAATTTTTTTAAAATTTTAACACGTGCTGTTGTATTTGTAATATATTTGAATTTTCAAAATTGGCGGAAATTCATTTTTGAGAATACCCTGACCTCTTCATGTTCTCCTGATACTTTTAAATTTCAAGATTTCTTCAAGTTTTAGCGCCAATACAATCAAAATATTAAATATTTTAAAAGCGCAAGCGCATTCTACGAAAATTAGAATACCAATGCGCATGCGCCATCAACGTTATTAGGATTACTTCAACCTCTTCATGTTCTCCTGATACCAAAAATTAAAAATTTCTTTTAAATTTTGTTGAAAATCTATCAAAACATTTAATATTTAAAATGCACATGCGCAGCCTACATAAATAGAAATACCCCTACCTCTTCATGATCTCCTAATACCAAAAATTAAATTTTTTTTTAAATTCTAACACGTGCTGTTGTATTTGTAATATATTTGAATTTTCAAAATTGGCGGGAATTCATTTTTGAGAATACCCTGACCTCTTCATGTTCTCCTAATACTTTTTAATTTCTAGATTTCTTCAAGTTTTAGCGCCAAAACAATCAAAGTATTAAATCTTTTAAAAGCGCAAGCGCATTTTACGAAAATTAGAATACCAATGCGCATGCGCCATCAACGTTATTAGGATTACTTCAACCTCTTCATGTTCTCCTGATACCAAAAATTAAAAATTTCTTTTAAATTTTGTTGATAGTCTATCAAAACAATCTATATTTCCAATGCGCATGCGCTATTGACGAAAATTGGTTTATCCCAACCTCTTCATGTTCTCCTAATACTAAAAATTAAAAATTTCTTTTAAATTTTGTTGAAAATCTATCAAAACATTTAATATTTAAAATGCACATGCGCAGCCTACATAAATAGAAATACCCTTACCTCTTCATGTTCTCCTAATACCAAAAATTAAATTTTTTTAAAATTCTAACACGTGCTGTTGTATTTGTAATATATTTGAATTTTCAAAATTGGCGGGAATTCATTTTTGAGAATACCCTGACCTCTTCATGTTCTCCTAATACTTTTTAATTTCTAGATTTCTTCAAGTTTTAGCGCCAAAACAATCAAAATATGAAATATTTTAAAAGCGCAAGCGCATTCTACGAAAATTAGAATACCAATGCGCATGGGCCATCAACGTATTTAGGATTACTTCAACCTCTTCATGTTCTCCTAATACAAAAAAATAAAAATTTCTTTTAAATGTTGTTGATAATCTATCAAAACAATCTATATTTCCAATGCGCATGCGCTACTGACGAAAATTGGTTTACCCCAACCTCTTCATATTCTCCTGATACAAAAAATTAAAAATTTCTTTTAAATTTTGTTGAAAATCAAAACAATCATTATTTGAAATGCGCATGCGCCATCTACGTTAAAAAGAATACCCCAACCTCTTCATGTTCTCCTGATAACAAAAATTAAAAATTTCTTTTAAATTTTGTTGAAAAATTATCAAAACATTGAATATTTGAAATGCGCATGCGCAGGCTACGTAAATAGGAATACCCCTACCTCTTCATGTTCTCCTAATACCAAAAATTAAATTTTTTAAAAATTTTAACACGTGCTGTTGTATTTGTAATTTATTTGAATTTTCAAAATTGGCGGGAATTAATTTTTGAGAATAACCTGACCTCTTCATGTTTTCCTGATACTTTTTAATTTCAAGATTTCTTCAAGTTTTAGCGCCAAAACAATCAAAATATTAAATACTATAAAAGCGCAAGCGCATTCTACGAAAATTACAATACCAATGCGCATGCTCCATCAACGTTATTAGGATTACTTCAACCTCTTCATGTTCTCCTAATACCAAAAATTAAAAATTTCTTTTAAATTTTGTTGAAAATCTATCAAAACAATGATTATTTCTAATGCGCATGCGTCATTAACAAAAATAGGTTTACCCCAACCTCTTCATGTTTTCCTGATACTAAAAATTAAAAATTTCTTTTAAATTTTGTTGAAAATCTAGCAAAACATTGAATATTTGAAATGCACATGCGCAGCCTACGTAAATAGGAATACCCCTACCTATTCATGTTCTCCTAATACCAAAAATTAAATTTTTTTTAAAATTTTAACACGTGCTGTTGTATTTCTAATATATTTGAATTTTCAAAATTGGCGGGAATTCATTTTTGAGAATACCCTGACCTCTTCATGTTCTCCTGATACTTTTTAATTGCAAGATTTCTTCAAGTTTTAGCGCCAAAATAATCAAAGTATTAAATATTTTAAAAGCGCAAGCGCATTTTACGAAAATTAGAATACCAATGCGCGTGCGCCATCAACTTTATTAGGATTACTTCAACCTCTTCATGTTCTCCTGATACCGAAAATTAAAAATTTCTTTTAAATTTTGTTGAAAATCTATCAAAACAATGATTATTTCTAATGCGCATGCGCCATTAACAAAAATAGGTTTACCCCAACCTCTTCATATTCTCCTAATACCAAAAATTAAAAATTTCTTTTAAATTTTGTTGATAATCTATCAAAACATGCTATATTTCCAATGCGCATGCGCTATTGACGAAAATTGGTTTACCCCAACCTCTTCATATTCTCCTGATACAAAAAATTAAAAATTTCTTTTAAATTTTGTTGAAAATCTATCAAAACAATCATTATTTGAAATGCGCATGCGCCATCTACGTTAAAAAGAATACCCCAACCTCTCCATGTTCTCCTGATACCAAAAATTAAAAATTTCTTTTAAATTTTGTTGAAAATCTATCAAAACATTGAATATTTGAAATGCGCATGCGCAGCCTACGTTAAAAGGAATACCCCTACTTCTTCATGTTCTTCTAATACCAAAAATTAAATTTTTTAAAAATTTTAACACGTACTGTTGTATTTCTAATATATTTGAATTTTCAAAATTGGCGGGAATTCATTTTTG